TAAAAAAGAATTAAAGGAAATAAAGAACGACAAAATGAATGAAAAAGAAAAACAAATGATTGAAAGAATGAGAGAGTGGCAGTACAAACTAAAGAATGAATAAAGAAAAACGAATAAGAACAAAGAAAAGAAAGAATGAACAAGCTAACAAACAAAACAATGAAAGAGAACGACAAATGAAACAACAAAAGCACAAACAAACAAAATGATGAAATAATGAAAGGAACAAAAATGAAACAACGAGAACAAAAGAACAAACAAAACAACAAACAAAAATGAAACAAAAGAATGAACAAAAACAATGACAGACGAGCACATGAAACAAACAAAACAATGAAAGAGAACAAAAGAATGAACAACAGAAAGTGAATGAAGAAGGAGTGAACAAACAAAAGAATGAAAAAATGAAAGAAAAAGAACAAAAGAAAAAATAAGGAATGACAAAATGAACGAGAGAAAAACACATGATTGAAAGAAAGAACGAAAGTGAGTGACAGTACAGAATAAATAATGAATAAAGAAAAAACGAACAAGCAAGAATGAAGAAAAAAAGAATTAACCAGCTAACAAATTAAACAATGAAAGAAGGAATCAACTGAACAAACGAAACAACAAAAAATGAAAGACAATGTAGAAACAAAACAATGAAAGAGAACAAAAGAACAAACAAACAAAACGATGAAAGAAAACAAAACAATGAACAACCGAAAGTGAATGAAGGAAGAAACAAAAGAATGAAAAAAAAAACTATGAAAGAAAGAAAGAGAACGAAACAAAAGAACAAAAAAGAAAGAAAGTGAAAGAAAGAACGAATGAATGAAAGAAAGAAAGAAAGAAAGAAAGAAAGAAAGAAAGAAAGAAAGAACTAAAGAAATGTAGTAGTCTATAACAGCTGATGGGGCCATAGGTGATTGGACTCAAGAGACAGAATAGTGAGAAATAGAAATTGGACAAAATAGTGATGATAGACTGTCCTCAGGGTGTTGACAACAACAAAATGATCATATTCACATGAAAAGACAGAAATAGAGTCAGGCAGCACATACAGGACATCACAAGATGTCACCCCACCCGAGGTGAGGTCACTCTCAGTGAAGAACTGGAAACACTTCACTTCTCAAAGCTCCAGGAACGCTTCAGGGAGTGGACATACAAAACATGATCTCTCTTATGTGCTTGCACATGCCAATGAGCATAAATAAAGTTATTTTGTTTCCCTTTGGAAAGGGAGCTTAAGGCAAGGCATTGTAGGAAAGGACAGAAAGGATAGGAAAGAGGAAGGAAGGGCTTTGACTGCTGGCACAGACCTGGACAAATATACACATCCACACACACTCGCAAGTGGAAACGCAAGCGGCGTGTGAAAGGAAAACAACTCTCATCTCCAAGAAAAGAGTCTCCACTCAGAGGATGCTAAGGAAAGATATAATGGGGGTCTAGGGCCAAAAAAAGAGACTGACACTTTTCCGTTCAGGATTTCACACTCGTGACAATGCTTGACAAATGCACATTTTATCTCGTAGGGCACTCATTATACAACAATAGTGCATGCTTGAAAAGTACAGGCTTTACAAACAACCCCTCTGGCTGACCCCGTGAAGCCCAAAGAGTGTGTGTGGGGTGTACAGGAGATTAAAGAGGAAATGCTCTGTACGACTGCAACCTGATAAGCTTGTGAGAGTCAGTAGTTCTGTACTAAAACCTAGCGAGCTGCTCAACTGTAGTGTCTACATTGGCTGTTACCTTCTAAGGCAGCATCCAAGTTGAAATGTAATCATTAGCGACTGATTTGAAACAATTCTTATGGGAAAAATACTGCTTCTCAATAAACACACTCTGAGGCCTTAAACACACTCTGCAATTTTATTACTATTTTATTAAATAATATAAAGTCATTTTGTAAGACTTTTTAATTTAACTCCATCATTTTAATGATACTGAATTTAAAAAAACACAAGCCAATTAAATAACCACAGTTTTATTGAAAGTAACAATAAAATTGGACAGAAAATATATTAATATTAAATATCAATATATGACCTGTTCTGGCTAAATGAGTTACAATGAGCAAATTTTCAAAAATGAGTTATTTTTAATTTCACATTCTCCATTAAAAGACCTTCAAAATGACGCATGGTTTGCTGGAATCGGATGAAAAACAACTGAGCTATACCCATTTGAAGTCGACAGAGTCAGCAAAGTAAATTCTGAGAGAAATCGAGTTCAAAGTTTTCTAAAGGTTCCAAAGCAAAATCACCTAGCAACATTGCATCTTTTCCTCCAGTTCTTTTCTTAATAATAATTACTATATTAATATAGATATTTTTTATTTTATCTTTGTTATTATAAATAAGAACAGATGCAAAAAAGCAGTAGAACAAATATAAAAATAAACTAATAATACATTACCTTTTCATTTTACATCTAAACAAAAGCATTCAAGTAAGAAAAACAAGAAAATAATCATAGAAAAATAATCAAATGTAAAAATCCCTTTAGTGTGTTCATTACAAATAAATTGATTATTAAAACTACAAAATCAGTTCAATCAAGAACAGTGAGTGATTCCCTCTTTTCTTATATGGTTTGATTACCATATTAAGATCTACTGTAATGCACGGATCTAATATAATGTTACATATCTGACGTTTTTCCCCAAAGGTTCCCCAAGTGTCCACTTAAGGCATAACTGATTATGTTTGCGTGAATATTTAAATACTGTAATTCTGTGTATATGTGTATATTTATCGGGATCGTGCGCTGGCGAAAGTGCCTTTTATGTGGGCTCTTGGGATGTCAGTCAGCGCGAGAAGAAACTTCCCTCAGAAAACGTTCAAATAAAGACAATTTTAGACGTTTAATTACTATTTGGAGCATTGGGATCGCTAAACGAGGGCTTGATGAACTAATTTTTGTGAAAACCTCAAATTCAATTAAAACCAACATTTTTCAAAAAAAAAAAATTTGCCTGTAGCTCAAAATTAGCCTGTGCACATTCAGACTCATTTTGCCAGCACGGGTCTCAAATTTTGCTATTTTTTGGGGGGTCTGAACACAAATGCGGTCACAAAATGGTTCTATTATTTACAGGAAATAAATCAAATTAAAGGCAGTAGTAAAAAGAACTAGAAGCTATTGTAAAGTAATCCATTTGAACTATATGCAAATCATATAAACAGTTTTTCCTAATACAAAGGCTGAAAGAATAATGGCAAATTTGACATATTTCTCTCTTTTGACCAACATAATCTCTATGCTATCTTAGATTTTTTTTTTCTTTTGCTATACTGGGGCAAATGAGACCACAAAAAATGTATTTCTTATAGTTTCCGTTCACCGCTACATAAGTTTACCCAACCATGATGACTACCGGCAATGTGAAAAGGGTCCATTAGCACTTTGATTTGGTGAAGCTGAGTGCTATGCCTGCATTCTTTGATTTGATTGGTAATTTCAAGCATTTTGACACTGTTGAGCACTGTTGGACCGCTGAGGCAGACCAGCCTTTTAAAACCTTAACAAAGCAATTAGTAATGGAGAGAAGCATCAAGCATAGCAAATATTACAGAGCACAATTTGAGTGTATCTGATTACTTAGGGGACATGTCCCCCTCAATGTCTATGGTGGTTAGGCCAGAGAGGAACAAACAAGGACGTATACTTTCGAATTAAGTGTCTGTGTACCTTACTTAAAGTCTGATGTTATCAATGACTTCGTGTTACTTTAAAGGGTTAGTTCACCCAAAAATGAAAATTAGGCTGCGTTTTACTAACCCCCGAGGCATCCTAGGTGTATATGACTTTCTTCTTTCAGACGAATCCAGTCGGAGTTATATTAAAAATTGTCTTTGATCTTTCAAGCTGTTTAATGCCACTCAGCGGGTATTGCATTGCTTCAGTCCAAAAGAACTTAAATAAAAATCGCCCATCCATTAAAAAAAAGTGTCTCACACGGCTCCGGGGGGGTGAACAAAGGCCTTCTGTAGCGAATCGATGCGTTTTTGTAAGAAAAATATCCATATTCAAAACATAATAATCACTTTAATCTAGCTTGCGCTCACTGTTGTAAACAGAAGCAGTTCCGGGGGAATGACGTATGAGGTCGGCTTTGCGCATGCGCCGCTCAGAAGTGACGCATGCAGAAACGCAGTGGAGAGATCAAAACAAAACAACGGTCGAGAATTAGAAGTACAAAGCGAGGATTTGTAAAGAAGGATGTCAGAGGATTTCGATATAAGCCAAGAGGAGACTAGTTTTCCTTTGCTAAAGTAAGGAAACTTTGC